AGGAGGAGGAGGGGGAGCTGTGCGGCCGCCCGGCTCCCCGAGCCCACGCGTGTCAGTGCCCACGAAAACGGAGGGGGAGCCCTGCGCTGGGGAGACGAGAGGTTATCGCAAACCAGTTGTGCACCCCCGCTGGTTTTGCTCCAGGGGAAATAATGAGGGAACAATACATGGAAACCGATGGCAGAACTGAGGCTCTGTAGGGCCAAGTGGGTGGAGTGGGGTTTTTGTGTTTGTTTTTCCACGGACTCCTCTATGGAGCTTTCTCTTCGTGGGTGAAACACTGTCATGACACTTGAGCCTTCATAACGCCAGTAGTTAGCAGTGGTTAGAGTCATAACAAGTGATTTCAAGTATAGCAACAGGTGAAACACTATTTTAAAAGGATGCATCATGCCGCATGGATGTAGCAGAGATACCTTCTTAGCCAACAACGGGAACATATCAAGTGACTTCTTCCGTATGAGCGTACTTGAAATTACTCATTAGGAGACTAGACCAACATAGACCAAATCCTTTTTGTCTCATTTGTAGTCAGGGATTATAAGGAAACAGCTGATAGTCGTCCATAGGGAACATAGATATAATTATTGATGGGGATTTCCATACTTGCATACAAATCCAGTTGTTGTCAGATGCTTGCCATCCCAATTACCGCGGTCAGACATGTTTCACAATGACTTGTCTCACAGAGTTGTCAGCCTTCCACAAATAGTTGACTGTAGTACTCCATCTTCAAAATCTACTTTGTCCAAGTAGAAGAGCTTTACAAAAAATTAAAACCATTCAAAAATCATCTTTCAAGATTTTAGTTGATACAGTTGCACATGTGATATTTAATGGTCTAAGGATTTAACCACAACAGAATGAAGACAAATTCTCACACCATCCCTAACAAAAGAATTAATAGCAGAAAGATGTGCAGATGTTACTATGGTGCAGCCACCTTAACCCTGACCTGTGTCATCTTGAGGCCTTTTTGTATGTAGTTTCTCACTCCTGCTTGTGGTGCCAATGTGCATTTGCAAGGGTGTTTGTCAGGTGGGAAATACGAGTTCTGTTCAAGTGAGAAGACTTGGGTTATGCAGAAGCCGGTGTAGGCATCTCTGAAATGAAAAACGTATATGTCAATTCACAATTGGGTTTATGAATGCCACATGTAATTACCGTTTGAAAATTAAATAGAAAACTGATAGATACAAGCTAGAGTAGGTTATAAATGTGAGGCAGAGTATGAAATAATTTGAATAATTTTTACAGCAGGTTAACTTAAAAACTTATGTGTTGTATATAGAAGAATTTCTGTGCACAGCCCCTGCCTATATATAGGATTAGGTTAAAAATTACTGGTTTATAAATGTTTTTATTCAATGTTCAGTATAAGGTTCTCTACTACATGCCCATTCTCCAGTAATTTCACTTTTTTTTTTTAAGCACATTTGCCTTTTCAGATACTAAAATTACATGGTATAACTAACTGCATAATTGACTGTAACCTTGCCTGTTTGTTGTGATGTATGTTGGTTTTGAATAAAAATCCTGGGTTCTTAGAGGTTTTCTCCCTTCCTTTTTTGGGGAATGTAAAGGAAAAAATGAAATAGGTCTTTTATAATATTCAATAGAAAGACTGGATCAACAGGTTTGTACAAAATGGTGTTGCCTGTATCAGTAGTTAACTCTTCTGAAACCATTCCTGATACAGCTGTGCATGTTCACTTTTGCTCAGATACGACCCTGGAAGTAGTAAATCCTCAAGTGTTTATTTTTGACTACTAAGATAACAAGTCAGTTTTACATTGGAGTTGGCTTCTACAAAAGTAATTTTTTACATTTATGGTTTTTTTCTTACAGTCCTTTAAACTCCTAGGATTTCTTGATGTTAAAAGTGTCCCGTGTGCACGAGAATCAGTGCTCTATGGCTCCCTGGGATCTTTAGTTGTGGGTCTTGGACATTTTTTAGCAACTAGTAAGTACTTCTTCTGGGTTTTATATATTTATATGCAAGGAAAAATTAATTCCTATTTGCTTTTAGGTTTTATTAATAATGGGAAGTCATCCAAGGTTTTGTCTCTAATTTTTTTGAGGATTTTTTTTTTTCTTTCAGGTAGAGTTAGAAGATCTTGTGACTTTGCAGTCGGTGGCTTTATTTGCACAATGTTAGGATACTGGTATGTAAAATGCTTCTTGAATTTTGACAGAGTGATATTGGCTGCTTTGTACAACATGATCCCTGTGTGACCTTTCACACTGTTTTTGAAACTCCGTAAAAAACTTGCCTAGCAAAGCATCTTCTTCCTTCTCCCTGAAATATTTCTTTTTTTTAAAGGAAAATAGTTCAATGCCTTTGAATTTTTATGTTAATTTTTTTTAAAAAAATTGCTATTGTTTCTTGAATCCTAAGAGATCAAACCACCCAGTTATTTCCATCTTTCTTAATTCTTTCTTTTTTCCTTCACATATGCCATCCTTCTGTCCTCATTATAAAGGCAGCATATTAAATGGTCATGAAATTAAGATCCAAATTATAGAAATTAGCATTTTCTATTGGACTTGTATATCCTGCTCCTCAGTGGCTGCATAATGTTTGCCTTAAAGAAATAGCAGTTACCCTAGTATTTTCATTATGCATCATTTCAGAATGAATTTTACTAGCATTATTAGATGTGGTTTCAACTTTTCAACTGGCAGAATAACTGTGATTTGATACTGTCACTTATATAAAGCAGGGAATATGGTTTTCTTTTCATCCCCTCCTTTAGGTTTTACTGCAGGTACAACTTGGCCCAACACAGGATCCGGCAAAGAATGCTTAGAGAAGGAATGAGAAACAAAATTTTATTTGAAGGCAGTTCTCTTGATCCATCAAGCAAACAAACTGGCAATGAAAGAAGCGATTCATAGTCTGCTATGGAGGAATCTGTGGTCTAATACAGCTTTGGGAGAAGGTGGTCCAAAAATGGCAGTCTTCCCTGTAAATGTGTGAGGTGCCTAAAACTGATAAATTGTGCTGGTTTTTCTAACAAATCCAAGTGAGAAACTGATAGTGAATCTGTTGAGTCAGTATACAAGCCTTTCTTTTTCCATGTATGTATGTATGTATGTACTATGTACACAGTTAGGAATGACCTCCTGTTAAGCATCTGGGAACTGATGTGTTCTGTTACAGGGTCTCAGAGGATTAATGACAGTGGTTTGGGACTGCTTTAACTTCCATTATAAGCAGAATGGTTCATTTTAGCAAAATTGTAATTACATTTCATTTAAATACAGGAAAATATTTTCCTCAGCTATTCTCTGAGTAAATGTATCCTTCAGTGCTACTGTTAATTGTGCTGTTTGTAAAACAGGAATATTTAAGCAATAGGTGAAGGCTTTGCTTGTGCAAGGTAGGTGATACCAGTAGCCTTTGTAAGATTTCAGCTGCAGTATAACTTCAGATAATTTACATACACTGTGAAGTTGAAGGATTTCCATTTTTGTTGTCTGTGCAAAACTGAGAATAAAATCATACTTCAGAAGCAGTCTTAAGTTACGTAAGTAACTAATCTTTTTACTTGATTAAAAATCTTGCTCTTTTATTTAAGACATTTCCTTACAGTTGGTGGAATGCTAATTTACCTTATTTGTAAGTAGCAATGGTCAGTAGTGTTGTTTTTTTTTTAAAAAGGCATGTTCTACTTGTATATTTCACTGTACATTTTCAGTTAAAAGAAATATCACTGTGTAATTTCAAAGAAACCATCTTATTTGGAAATACAGTGTTAGATCTAATTGCATATTGGTAAAAAGATGAGTGATGGCATAATATTCCTTGCTTGCTTCTGTCTACACCAGCGACACAATGTATTTACTTTTTTCACAAAATTATTTATAGTGTATTATGCTGTAAGCACTTCTTGGTCTAAAGGCATTCACTGAGGAAAAACAGTCCTTTCCCCGCACCCTGTACTTAGTCTGAGAGAGTTTGCAATCTGTTGTTAACTCCAGTAGGTGTGGGGAGGTTTGGGAATCCAGATGTAAACAGCAGCATTGCTCTACTTATTTAATTTGGAAATATACATAAAAGCACTAAACAAACATGCTGTTTACACTAAGATTTACCCTCTGTTGGTTAGCATATTACAAGAAGAAAACAAACCTGTATAGTCCATTTCCTTTTTTCCCTCTATTCCTTTTGTTTCCTCCAGAAGAAACAGTAAAGATAAATTTTATGGAGGACATTCAGTTCAATAGTTTTATATAAAAAGTCTCCAGAAAACTTGAGTTAGTGCCATGAAACGCTGTCTGTCCTCACTTCAAAATCTAAACTCAGAAGTTAACTGGTAGCTAACTCCAGACAGGAGAAATGTCACCCCTGGTTCTGTGCTGAGGGGGGAGGCTCCTTCCCTTTGGATGGGGTAGGAGGTGTTGCCTCGTAAAGCCCTTGGAGCGGCAGTGGGAAACAGAGTGAGCCATGAGCAAGGACTTAGCAAGCTCCTATTTTAATACATGGTTGAGTTCTTTCCTATCTGACCTAATAAAAGGAACTGCAACCTAAGCAGGGGGTCTTTTGGCTGCGAGGTCATAGTTCAGCCAGGGAGTTAGGAAACAAAAGCAGGCAGATGAAAATTTACTCTTTGGCGAAGAGCAGTTGTAGAGAAAGAAGAGAATGCTGTTTTGTACTGATAGAAAGAGGTTAGTATGCGCATAATGGCGTCCTTCAAAACGCACAAGCACTGTGACTACGTCGAGAAAAAAGCAGAAGCATCATGATAGTTGTGTAAATCAAAAAATCTGGGGAAAACTGCAGCATTATACCCTCTCTGGTGTTAACTGATGTTGGTTTAAGGTACTGCATTTGCGGATATTAGCTCAATAGCAGCTTCACTACAGTAGTAGCAATTCTGGCCAATAAGTATGAAATTCTAGATGTATCTGCACTGCGTAGATAACCAATCTAATACTTCTGCCTCACTGTGGAAAATGTAAAATGAGTATGCCAGATGTTAACAGAAAAATGGGGAAAGAGGCAATATGCAGGCGGTCTGGCTGACATGTCTAAGCTTCATTATCTAGTAAAAGTTGAGGTGGAATTGAGCTAAGCGAAAGTCAGAGCGTTTGCTGAAGGGAGCGGGGGGAATAAGACAAGGAAGCTGCAAGCAGGATGAGATTGGAGTGAAAGGGGAGGGTCCGCAATAGCAGAGGGAAGAATGCTCGTGGTTAAACGTGCAGGGGAAAAAGTCTGACATAATTCCTCGCAGCGTAGGCTACAGCAGCTCCTGCGCCAGCTATGGAAAGTGGCTGGAAAGTGACTGATGGGTTACAAACCCCTGTTGAAAGGGTGAGGGACAGGAGATAAACCAAAAATCTTGAAGCTATTAGTTGTCATAAATTAGGATGCATTCACAAGAAAATAAAAATTGTAGTAACTTAATAGTTAACATTTTAACGTTTGAAAACAATTTCCTAACTTTTTTAAATTAGTGGGCTGTATCCCTATTAATGCTATTTTTTAAAATCTAAGTCATTGTTGGAAATATAGCATGCATCTGTGTTTTATTATTGGACTTGATATCTTTATTTTAAGTATTGCTGCTAATGACAGACGTGATTGATAGTACTCGCTTTATCGAGGTTCAAAATATTCCTCAAATTAAAACATACTAGACAGTTACTAGAAAGGAAGAGAAATAGTAATTTTGAAGGTGTTTGGTTTTTGGCCCTCTGAATGAGCCTTAAAAAGGAGAGAATGAAGTATAGGAACTTTAAGCTATAAAGTTGCTAAAATCTTGTTTATTTTACTGACAGTTACGTTACTTGGTCACTAAACGGTGACTGACAAGCACACTTAGTTTATCCCTGAAGTTAGTAGAATCCTCCCTTAAAGCAATCTAAACCAGCACCAAAAGAAGTAGATGGGTTTATGGCCCCATTCGCTCCTCCACACCTTACTCTTCCCGCTCCCCGCAGCAGCGATGCTCTCGGCAAGAGGTGTTTGGCAGCCCCCCGGCAGGAGCACGCAGCCGGGGCTCCCAGCAGCGACCAGAGCGTGCCACCCAAAGGCGGGCCTCCTCCCGGCCTCCTCCAAGGAAGGAAGGTCACTGTCAAGGCAACAGGCAGAAACGCGGCAACTTAAGGTTAATTGCCAACTCCATTACTAGAGGTGTGCGTCATCAGATCACCTCTGCTCTTCAGTGCCTCTCACCAAAGCAAATGTAACGCTTCAGCCATCGACAATTGCGGCAGGCTCAAAACCCAAGAACTTTTTGAAGCTGACAGCAGAGGCAATTACAGCTGTCATCCCAAACTTGTCATTTACATCTTCACCCAAGCAGAGATTTTTGGGAGGTGGTGTTGGCATTGCCTTCTCGGTGCATTTTGCAGGCTTCCAGGCTATTTTGTGTGTCACCATCGCCCCCTCCAAGTCCTCGAGTGCTGCAGAGGAAAGGTCACCTCCTGTCATTAACAAATGAGTCTGGCTTTTGGTAGGATGATTTGGGGTGGGGGGGCAGGGCGGGGAGAAGTATGTTTGTTATTTCTGGTGTAAGCCACCCAGGTAACAATGAAGTACTGTGTGAACTCAGTTGTAATGAGCTCCCAAGTGAAAGATTTTCTCTAGCTTAGTAGAACGAATTCCCATACTTCTCTCATTCCTCTATCCAGGTGTTCAGCTCAAGAGCTCAGTGGTTACCAGTGAAAGCTGTTTGGTTTGCTCCATTTGAAGTTTGAAACAAACACGTTATTGCCTTGAAAAACCGATCAAAACAAAGTCTTCACAGTATGTCCATATCATCAAGAAGATGATCTTTTGATGATTTTTTTTTCCTCAATTTGAAGAACCAAGACCTAATTGAATGTCAGAAGTGGAGCTGAGTTTTAGTTAATGTGACTCTGGAAAGCTGCCCAGAGGAAAAGGACCTGGGGGTGCTGGTTGACAGCAGGCTGAACATGAGCCAGCAGTGTGCCCAGGTGGCCAAGAAGGCCAATGGCATCCTGGCCTGTATCAGAAATAGTGTGGCCAGCAGGAGTAGGGAGGTGATCGTGCCCCTGTACTCGGCCCTGGTGAGGCCGCACCTCGAATCCTGTGTTCAGTTTTGGGCCCCTCACTACAAGAAGGACATTGAGGTGCTGGAGCGTGTCCAGAGAAGGGCAACGAAGCTGGTGAAGGGTCTAGAGAACAAGTCTTATGAG